GAAAGTCATTTGGTGTTTCTGTAATAAGTGTTTTTTCAAATGGATAATAGAACAAATTATTTTAAGCAAAAAGTTTCATATGAACGTGTTTCATAGTTTGCTTCGTTTTCGATACAGGGTGTTGAGATTAAAAAAAAGTATCATATTTTCTGAGATATCTCCCAGGATGTTACCTAAGTAGAAGTAAAAACTAGCTAAGTTGACTTACAAATATGTCAACAAGTAATGTGATATTTTATTCTAATTTCATTACCTGATATAGTCTTTCCGATATCAGTTGAAGAAGACGTTGACAATGTGTACCAGGTTCGGTCGCTGACGCAGTAACTCGGCATTGAAATATTTCAAAAACTTATTCCCATATTTATTTAACCGTACCCATATACAGGTCTGGTCGAACTAAACGTGGAGGTGGTAGAAATGTATATGCCCAGTTGAAAAATGCGAGTGCGGGCAAATGAAATCTAACACAGCTGCATTGGGCCACTGGACAATAAATCTCAGCTGTTGACAAGTGTTGACAAATTGCCCAGCAGTGCAGTGCAGCAATGCGGAATTTGGTGCGATTCAGGTAATTTTAATTTTTTATATGCACCTTCTATTAATCATTGATATTATTACAACACGGCATTTTGGAGACCTTTTGAAATGGATCAAAACGAAATTTACCATCAATATAATAAAATTGATTGGGGACATACATTTAAATTATGTAGTTGGCGAATATAATAGAAATTTTCTACACATTATCTACAAATTATTATGATTTTTTACCTTTAGAAGAAAACTTTTCTAAGGATGCCTATGAAAGTCATTAAATTTTATTGCCAGGCGTTTTTTTACATGTTTAACGGACTTCGGAAAGACTATACCTCGAACTTCAAACCATGTTCATTTGAAACTATTTGCTTATTATAATCTGTTATATTACCGCTTTGAAGCAACAGGCTTATTTCAGAAACACTGTAAGGCAAATAAATATTTTTTTTTTCTGAAGACATGGCGGTTTAAGGAATTATAAACATTATAAAACTGCTTGCGATCTATGGCTTCATGGCTTGATTATTTCCAACTATTATTACACAGATAGATTTTGTTTAAATTGTATGACTTGAAGATGACAACATATAATTTTTCATCAGGTGGTTTTAAACAAGTTCCATTTAAAAAAAAAACAAAGTAAAAAAAAATAAATAAGTAATATATACATCACTACCATTCACACACAATCTTGTAGGAAGCTCTTAATAAAAACACAATAAGCACAGTAATGTAGAGCCTTCATTACCTCATCCATTTGTCAGACAGCATATAAAACTAAAAATTCCATTGCATACAACCTTTCCTGTATACTGAAAACTTTGAAGTCTATCAAATTTATATTGGAATTTGATAGATTACATTACAGATACGTTATTACTATGAAGGCACTGTTAAACAATTCACCTGTTGATAGCTTAAAAGCAAAAGAGAAAACGTGTTCTGAAAATGACTTGTACTGCTATATACAACTTATTTGCAACAGATTGTTGAATATATATAACAGGCCAATTCCCATTTAATTGCCATATAATTTCCAGATATCCCATATTTAAATTAATTTAGTTAAATAGTACTCTTCACCAAAACCATTTACCTACTTAATATATGTACATTTCAGTAATCTGCAATATACAGGGTGTTTCATAATTGGTGTCAATATTGAAGGGTGTTAATGTGTTCGTGATTTTAAGACAAAAAGTTCATATAAACATAGGTCCGTTTTCGCTTTATTTTTGATATACAGGGTGATGAATATCTGTTTGTAAAATTGTTTTTTTTTTAATAACTCCGAAACTAAATTAGATAGTTTTATAAAACTTAGTATGTGTAAACTAGGTGCAGAGACAGGTCTTTTGCATAATAAACGAATTTTCATTTTTAACCAGTGGCGTCCCAATTAACTTCAACCTCATTATTTTTAATGAAAAAAATGATACGCCACTGCATTTTTGAAAAACAAAAATTATTGTATAAATGGTGCTTTATTTTGTAATAAAAAAGATCTCTTGAGTTTTTTTCTTATCTTGCACTGTTTTTTAGTAAAAAAATAAAGAACAACAATAATTATCTGTACGTGGAATGAAATACTTTTTACACATTTTATGGAAATAATTCTTTTACTAGATAACTTATACACATTATTGTATAATATTATTAATAATTACGGTTGACGATCAACAAATAACAATTTTGTGAAACGAAAAAAACAAACAATTACATCAGTTGTTGAAAATGCCCTCCACCTGCAAGGATACATGCTTCAGCTCTTCTTCTCATATTAGTGCGGACTCTTTGAAAAATGTTGTCAGTGTTCCTTATTACATCACAGGAAGCTCTTATGCGATTCCTCAGGTCTTCTACAGTGTTAACCGGAGTGTTGTAAACCAGAGTTTTCAGATGCCCCCATAAGAAGAAGTCCGCACTATTCAAATCTGGGGACCTGGGGGGCCATTGTTGGGGTCCACCACGGCCTACCCATCGGTCATGAAATGTGCGATTTAAATATTCTCTTGCTTCTCGATGGAAATGAGCTGGTGCACCATCATGCATGAACCACATTCTATTTCTAGTTAAAAGTGGCACTTCTTCAAGTAATACGGGCAAATCCTCCTCTAGAAACCGACGATATGTACGGCCGTCTAGCCTTTGTGGCAGAAAAAAAGGTCCAATTAAGTGATTTTCAACAATTCCAACCCAAACATTCACGGAAAATTGTTCTTGATTGTTAAAGTTCACAATTGCATGCGGGTTTTCTTCGGCCCAAACATGATTGTTATGGAAATTTCTTATAGCGTTTCTAGAGAAGTTAGCTTCGTCTGTAAACATTATTTCACAGTCAAACAAGGGATTTTGCGCAATTTTCTCCAAAAACCATTGACAAAAGTTGATTCGCAAAGGAAAATCTCGAGGAAGTAAGGCTTGGACCCGTTGAATATGATACGGGTATAACAGAAAATCGTGAAGAATTCTCCAAACTAGAATGTGCGAGATATTCAAGTTATTTCCAATTTGTCTAGTGCTAATATTAGGATTTTCATCAATTGAATTTAAAACTGCTTCTTCAACTTCTGGAGTTCTAGTAGTCCGATGGGCACCTTTTAATTGATTATTTGGCTTAAAAGTACCTGTTTCAGCCAACGTTCTATGTATGTTTGAGAATGTTCGTCTATCTGGTGTGACTCTATTCGGGAAACGCTCTTGATATAATCGTTTAGCCTCTGGCGCTCTGCCATCAGCCAAGCCATACATGTAATGAATGTCTGCCAACTCTTGATTTGTAAACTCAACCGTTATCAAATAACACTGTATAGGTATTTTAAGTATCAAAATTGAGTTGAATGAACTGAACTGTCAAAATTAATAAATCACAACAGTAATCAACAACCACAGCCTACTAGGTAATCTTTATATCATGCTTTCTGTTTGGCTCAATGTGGGTTAGTATGTTGTTCTTTATTTTTTTACTAAAAAACAGTGCAAGATAAGAAAAAAACTCGAGAGATCTTTTTTATTACAAAATAAAGCACTATTTATACAATAATTTTTGTTTTTCAAAAATGCAGTGGCATATAATTTTTTTCATTCAAAATAATGAGGTTGAAGTTAATTGGGACGCCACTGGTTAAAAATGAAAATTCGTTTATTATGCAAAAGACATGTCTCTGCACCTAGTTAACACATACTAAGTTTTATAAAACTATCTAATTTAGTTTCGGAGTTATTAAAAAAAAACAATTTTACAAACAGATATTCATCGCCCTGTATATCAAAAATAAAGCGAAAACGGACCTATGTTTATATGAACTTTTTGTCTTAGAATCACGCACAGATTAACACCCTTCAATATTGACATTCAATTATGAAACACCCTGTATATTTAAATTCCCCTCCTCTCAATAATAAACGCTATACCCTCTTTTTATTGATGCTAAGAAGACATTTGTAAACAATATATCATTTATACGTGTCCCATAATTTTTTTAATTCGATTTTTATAAAAAAATATTTCGAACAAAAGTTATCAGATTTCGAGGGGGTCAAATTACCGTGACCTTGAAATTAACCTTAAAATCAATTATCAAGGTCATTTCAAGGTCAATTTTGACCTTTTAAATGGATACCCATATTTTTTTACAGTTTCGTATTCTGTGGGAAAATATATGTAAGTTTTGTATGAAACATTTTTCTTGAAAAGGCTTCCTATAATAAAAATATGGTTTTCCATTAAAAAAATTAAAAGTTGGCCATGAAATGACCTTGATAATTGTCTTCAAGGTCAAATTAAAGATCACCATGACCCTCTCAAAAGCTGATAACTTTTGTTCGAAATATTTTTTAATAAAAGTCAAATTAAATAAATTATGCAACCTGGCACATTAAAATGGAACACCTTGTATATAACTTTCACAAACATGACTCTTTTCTCTATTCAAATGTCCTCAAAGCTAAAACAGAAACTTACAAACTACTTATTTAAGCAATAAACAGTCAATTTGTTCCAAATTAGAAATAGTTGAAGCTAAGCTATAAAATATTTTCACAAGGTCCATAAAAAAGAAAAAAAAATTTGATAATTATTATATCCTTTAAGTAATAAAATTACTACAAAAAATTGTTCAAATATTCTACCCTCTAACTGAATTTTTTTGTTTTCCCAAAGTCCAGCATAAAAACCTTATTATTTTATTGTGCACATTGAATTGATGATATATTCGACCTGGTTTTTTAGATTTTCATTAAAAAGCTGATATATTTTTTCCTTCAGTGGAAGTATCGAAGACTTAATTAACAATGATTAATATCTAATGGCATCATAAAGTTTTTATTTTATCAGGAAGTGTTAATAAAATTTAGTTATTTTATTAGATTTTAATAAGTGCACAATAAAATTTCAAAATTGTTTCTTTTGTCTACAGCCACTGGGCGTTATTTTACATTTGCCGATTTTTAGTTTTTACCTCTGAATATCAGCAGAGACAGGTCCCAGCCATCCAAAGCCAGAGGCAATTGTATTGAACTCCACTTGCTTCAAACAGCAAACAGGCAAGTGCTCGGAGCTAGCTTTCTTATCTGTAGAGTCAGGAAGAGCAGCTTCCAACATCACATCATTTCTTACGAGGCCCAGACTCAACGGCTATGGCACAACCATAATATTCACATCCTAACTACTTCTATCCCCATTTTATTAATAGTTATTAACTAATATCAAATCACGGATTTCAACCTACTGTATTTTGTTGCATATATTTCTGGATAAACCAGTACTACTTATTGCATCATGATTTGTTTGAATGCTTCTTAAGATACACCAGGTATTAAGTTTGAACAATGCTTACATCGATTTTTCAAAATCTTGTGATTTAATTCCTTGTGTAGCAGTAAAACAACTTTTTAATGCAAATGTATTTTGTAACATCATGCAAACAATCTTTAATAAATATGTTAGTAGTCAAAAACCTTTGCAGCATGAATCCAATTAATAACTTACTTTGGGGCGGTTAGTATTAGATTAGTAATTAATGTAATGTAATAATAGTACAGCTAATAATATATAATAATTCACAATTCCTTACACAATTTCAAATACGTAAACAAAATGAATAAAAACAAATTACATGTAAGTACATAGTGCTCACATGAAAATTGCCCTCTTTTTTGTTATTCAAAATATGAAAAAGTAAAATGTAAAGTTGTGATTTTAAAAAGTTTCTTATCACACATACTACAAAGACAATTAAAAGTATTAATTTCTAAGGTCCAACTGATGTTTTCTTTTTAATCGAATGTCCTGTATATCTTTAGATCATCGGAAAGAATGTTAAAAGAGCTCTTCAAAGATCTATTATGTATTATTAATTTTTGAGATATTACATATTTATTAATATGTAACATCACCATTAAGCCAAAAAAAGTATTTTGTGAAAAAAATTCTTGTTTTTCTGTAGATATAAGAGATAGTTATGAAATAAATAAACCAATTTTTTTTAATTAATACTATTTTTAACAAACGATTTTATTTTCCAGTATGCCATCTTAGTTTAATACTGTGTTGTCATTTTTTATTTTTTAAACATTTTGTTGCTCCCATTTGGTATTTATGTTCCAAGAAAATGTTTTAAAGAAAAAGTACTATGCAAAGCATACTTGCGTCTTGCTTAACAAATTAGTATATTTTGTTTTATTTAGTACAAACCAAATAAAAATGGATTTGTGACTGGCTGAATTTTTAAGTAAATTGTTACTATATCGCACCTTTCTACATCAACAAACATTTCACGAGTTAACTATTTAATCGGCAATTAACACCATTTTTTTAAATTGCTTTTCAAGAAATGTAAGCGGGGCCTATTTATGAGAACAACAAAAGGTACGGCATTTATTATATTAATTTAAAACTACCCTGATAGAGAAGCTTTCGGTTTTATCGATTTATATAAATCACCTCGAAAAATGTAAATGGTAGTTTATTTTTAATATATGAACAGTGAATATCGTATATATCAATATACTTTCACAAGAAGGAGAAAATCCTTATAACTTTTACACTTGACTTTTTTCATGGTTCGAACAATAATGGAGAGAAAGAAGGGCAATTTCCATATGACCACTAGGTACAATGTGTGTTCTCATTACTGAATAAAATATTTTTTTTTAATTATAACCTCCAAAAACTTAACGATTTATTGCTAATATAAACTTTCTGCCCTCAGCCTGTTCACAACTGAGCTTCATATTTGTGAAAAATATTTGAACAGGTACTTAATCTGACATAGATAAAAAAAATAGTCATATAGAAATATGATTTCAATAAAATTATCAAATATAAAGTTAATTAAGTATGAATATACTTCAGTGTTTAAGTAAGCTTAAGTACATAATTGATATCTATTCAAAAGGGTAATGGTTTGGTTATCTTGAATATTGCCCGCAATTAATATTATAAGTACTTATTATAATGTATTATATTGAATAAAATATTAAAGAAAGAATAACAGAACCACTCTAAACAAAGACAGCAAAAGTAGTTCTAAAAATATTAATTACTCTTTACCATTCATTCTGTTTCAACACGATACACACAACAAAGAACTTACTTGTGTTACACCCTCATCTTGAACAGTTTCATATATTTTGAACAAATTCCCAGTGAATTCATCTACCTGGATTGTTTCTTTAAGCGTAGTTGTCAGAAATTCTCTGTTGTGAGCAACTCTGTGCACTAATTCATTTAAAATAATCTGTACTTCAACAGCTCGTCTAAATTCCTTACTGGGAAAAGTTGATGGCAATAAAACGAAAGGAGCAAAATTAAGAGAATCCTCACTAAAACAGGCTTTAGATCTCATAGCAGCACCATGCATTATAGCCCAATCTTTTGCTTTTTCTACGAGTTCCTTCAACACATCTTCAGATATGGGCACAGGAATGCAACTTGGAAGATGAGGATTCTTCTGTGACATATTTCACTGGAAAAAAAATAATTCTATTAAAAGTTACACAAACGTGAATAGTGCGACGGTAGCACAATATAAATTAGCTTATTTTTCTTTCAGATGCACTTAAAAATGATGACAAACAAAAGATAAGTATAATTACCTGTGTATAGATATATAAATACTAAAATCAACACTTGATAAAAGTTATCAAATACGCAATTAACGGGAAAAAAAACAAAAAATTTAAATTCACATAACACAGAAAATCGGGTTATATTAAAATCAGCTAAATCAGTTAAAATTTCATGATTGATATTTGACGTTTGATTATGGATTTAAA